TCTTTCTCATATCCAAAACAAAATGAGAAAAACTTGTGTCCGAAGAAAGAAGGTATACTTCCGAAAAGGGCAGATAAAAATTGTCAATAGGCCATGCTATGCTATATATGGAAAGCAACTGAACCCTATAAACTTTCGCACTTCAGTGATGACCAATTAGATCACATTTCCGTTTCACACACACAAAAAAAAATGTAATTAACGTTGTTCCTCGTACCTGCCTACGAGAACTTATAGAGGATCATTATAATGTATTTGCATGGTACTGAAAGGCTTTGCGGTGTTGGTTTCGAAGAAACTACGCCAAGAATACGTGTGTGAAAGGGCGAAGGGGGGTGGGGGGGAGGGGACGGTATTGTTGCGGTGGTTCGATTAATAGCTTAAGACTGTCAGCGCGAATAGCACGCGAACTATTCGCTGCATTAACAAACCCCTCACAAATCCACAAAATCACAACGGCTTTTCATACCATGCCTTGGGAGAATGCGGTTTTCAAGCATGCTAGAAGTCACAATCTCCTTCTTAGAAGGCATCCCGTCGCGGGATTGGTCAGCCGCACAAAAAATCGCGCAAAAAGTGACCATGAGCACAGAGTAGCCCCACAAATTAGATGCGCACTCCCCCTCTAAGATAGCCGTCTCAGAAACGAGCAGTTTGAACCAATCAACCGAAACGAGTCATTTAGACCCTGCCACCGAAGCCAATTTCCGGAATCCACCGCTGCCACCGACCACAGCAAACAAAAGCCTCACGCAGAGAGCGTCGCTATACCGCACACGACTGGCTGGCCGGACGTGCGGCGTGGCCGTAACGCCACTGACCGCACCTAACACGTGCTTCATCCACCCAAGGGCAACGGCTCTTGTTCCCCAGCCCGCTGCTACCCAAACGGAGCCCGTCACGTCGCGTCCCGCCCGTCGGCGCGGTCGTCGGCGCCGTCGCCTGTCCGCCCGTCCGCTGTCCACCCGCCGTATAGAGCGACCCGTAGATCACGAGACCGGGGTACATTGCATGCTTTGTTCATCCTTAAGCTGCCAGTGCCGTGGAAGTTACGTGCTCGTTTGGGCCAATGAATCAGTCACTCTTTCATCGCGTGATGCCGCTCTCTTTTAGCTCGTGGGTATGGGGCAAGAGAGTGACCACGTGGCGAAAGACGGACGTATGACCGCTCCAACAAGCACCTAGCTTCCACCCCGCTGTCAGCTTAGGAGTGAACGGAGTGTAGGGTCAGCTGTCGTCGGTCACCGCTCGTTAGACGCGCTGCGCCTGCAGCGTCGTCGTCGGCCGACAAAAGCGTGGCCGCGGCAAGCCGTGCATGCAGCGCGCATACCACTGGTTGGACGCGCTGGTCGACGGTTCGAGCACAGGAGACGGGATTGCTTCGGACACTGGTTGCCCGGTTCTCGGGAGGCTTAATGAATGAGTGGAGGCGTGCGGAACGGATTGAGGCTTGTACGGTGGCGGGAAGAGGCGTGGAGCGTGCGCGCACAAGGCAGTTCGGCTTCGGCGGGTGACACGCCTGCTTTGTTGTGAAACAGCGTTTTTGCCGGCTCTTATGTCAGTTTTCGAAAGAAGAGAAACAAGCAACAATAACAGGAGTGCCGAGAAGGTGTTTGCCGGGCTTCTTTAAAATGACACGAGATGAATTTTGATGTCCCACGTCTATACGAGAAATCGAAATTCCTCTATGGCGCACGCATGCCGGTTTTTTTTTTTTTCGTTTTTTTTTTCTAGATGTTTTTTTTTTAGGTTTTGTTTCCCTTAAATCGATGGTGAACCGAACATTTCAGTGTTTATAATAAGCGGTGCACTATCTTTCCATGAGTCAGAGCCGCTGGTGTGCGCGAGCACACGCAACGAAATTGACGTCATCATATCCCCCATTCGAGCTTATTAAGCGTGAATGGGGGATATGATGACGTCAATTTCGTTGTGCGTGCTCGCGCACATCAGGGACTGCTGACTCATCAAAAAAGATAGTGCGCCGCTTATTACAGACACTGAAGTGTTCGATTCACCGTCCCTTTAACTCTAGCTTTCCTCTACTTACCCATCCCATAAAGAAAAAAAAAAAGAACTCGGTAACTGGATGCCATTAAAAATGCTGCTCTTCAAGTCTGAGAGTCAGTGCTTTCAGCACGAAATCGGTCGCGACCTGTTATCTAAATCTTGATCCCACATTCATAGGAAATTGAGGGCCACGCTCTGCTCGTAACGTTCTGTTACCTAGACAAAGGTATATATAGATATATACGTTCCCACTCTTCTTTTTTAAGGTTATCATGTCGTACAAAATGGTTCCTTGTATATAACGAAAGCCCGTAAAGCGTAAAAAGGACTCGCCAACTCCTCCCACTCACGCGCGTCAGGCGTACGCTTGGACTATATACTCAGTTCACCCTAAACTGAAAGTACAGTGGAAGCTACGTGCTTAGCGTACCAGACACTTTTTCCCCCTCTCTTTCCCCACGTGATCACGCTTCCGCCCAATCCCACGGGCAGAAAGGAGGGTCAGGCGATGAAAAGGAGGGCAATTGATTGGTCCGGCGAGCACGTAGCTTTCACCGCACTGTTAGCTTCTGGGGAATACGAAGTATACACACTGTCGCGGACTGAGCGGTCTTTTTCGCCCCACAAGATAAAGCGGCCGCCGGATGCGGCCAAGCGTCGCCGACCAGTCTCAAATGGCCGCCTCGTCGTTTCGCCGACCGCGCTCGGCGTCCCGAATTAAAAAACAGACAAACAAAAAAACCTTCTTCGATCGAAGCAGAGCCCGCGCGCGGGACTCCATAGCGAGTCAACAAGACGGCACTTGAACCCCGGCTCGGGGTCGCCCCATTTTTGAGCGCACACTCGACAACGCTACACTTCGTCAAACGCTCGAGGAGGTAGAGGGACAAGCTCAGAGACAAAAAAAGGGCTATTTGAATTGACTTCCAGGAGCGGTCATTAGTAGGTTGCAACGTTCGCCTCATATTTGCCTGACTACCGACGTTTTGGACGTTCGTTCGACTGTGAGATATCGGACTGTGTTTACACTACGGTGTGCTTTCTTCGCCGAGACTGCGTACTTCTAATCGAATGGCACGCGACCGAATGGAATTGTCTGTCGTGACTCGATCGTCTCTCGTTAGTTTGTTGAAAGGAACGTCCCGAAGATACGACTGGGAGATGATAATGGTGTCATTATACGTGCGATTGGTTTATAAATAACTACGGATGATTTAACGGTCGGCAAGTCATGAACGCAACAACAAAAACGAAACAAAATTTCTGGCTCATGACTGTTTTAAGATTACAGTACTTGGATGGTTGCGAATTTGAAAGAAGTCACAACTTTTTACTGAATGACTCGCGTTCGGTCATGCGGTACGATACTGCCGTGTAAAGTGTGTGAGCGTGCATCGTTTTATCACTGAGGGGAGAGGATATTTATAACAAAAAATTTCTCCAGGCTGTCTTTTTTTTTATTGAGAAAATACGAAATAATTTGACATCATAATTTTCACATCGTTGTCGCATTAATCTTACATAGTCCACACAGGTCAGAAATATTTACCTAACATTATTACATTATCATTCCTTTAAGTCTTAGCACCGATGTGTCATCATTCAGGTTTAGTGGTTCCGTGCTTTTCTAATACATGCCCGCGAACTAATAACGTATTTTCTTGAAGCTTTTTTGTTGTTGTTGTTGTTCTTATTTTGTTTTGGTTGTGATACACACCAACTCGTAAGTTTTTTTGTTTTTTTTTTGTGGAAATATTTCTAACAACAACAGCATCATAGTCACTGACGGCTTAAAAATGGCAGGGTAGTGCCTGTTCCGAGCATCTCATTAGCGCTCTTCAGCCAATGAGAGTGCAGCATTGGCCGATGAGAACAAAGGAAGAAGCGTATTAAGACACACCCTGGGAAGTTTCTTAAGCTGTTAGAGACAGTGGAATTTCATACATAGAAAAAAAAGCAAGATGCGATATCTCGCATTTCAAATTTATACATTACTTAACTGGTATTTTCTATCAGGCTGTTTCTACTGAATCCGTGGTCCTACTCTGTAACGAAAGCCCAACAACTAAGGAAGGTTGACTACGGGTATCACAACGTGGCAGAACCCCAGACATTTGACGCATACAGGCGGAATTGGTGTGCGTACTGCAATAAAAAATGTGTGATCATTAACTGGCATCGGCAGAGCTCCAAACGATACACGGGCGTACTTGCACACGAAACTGAAATCGCAGAGAAAAAGAATACTTGAAAGGTTCTATGCGTGCCGTGTTGCCTGGCGCATTTTCTAAATACCTCGACGAAATACTTCCCGTAATTTTGTAACCAACTGCTATGTGGTCGCCAAATTGAGAATGGAAAGAACGAGCAGAAACCTTATAAAGTATACTGCGCCGTTAAGTTACATTGAACACGGAAACACGTAATCTACGATACGACATATGGTAGACAGAAAAGAACATGACGTAATATGAAAGCGCACTATATCTGCGCTTTCACATGTACGTCATGCTTTTTTCCTTCTACCATATCGTCTCGTCATTACGCGTTTACGTGTTCAGTGTAACTTCGCAGCGCCGTATATTTGATAATGTCAAACCAACTAGCCCAAATCCAAGCATTGTGAGCTCAAACCACCAGCAGCATTTGTGGGAGAAGGGCTCCTGCACGCGTATTGAGTAGCTTTCCCGCATAACTTTAGATTTCAAGATGGATGAACGCCCAACTCTGCTCCCTGGGCGAGCTTATATACAGGAAATCTACACGAGACGCGACCACAAAAGAGGTACCACCGCTGTAGCGTCCGACGGACGCGACCGTTTAATGCTGCATCTGTCAGCGTCTGTCCATAGGCACTAACAGATCGTTTGAAAGGATGCAAGGCGACCTAAAACTATCACAATTTTCTCGTCAGGGGCGCTGTTCACAACTTGATAGCTATGAGTCTATGGAGGATAATAACGTGCCGGGGTTGTTGGCTCCTACCGCAGGATCGTGCGAAACAAGGCCGCCGAGAAGGCCAAGCACCACCACGTGTCGTCGTCGAACGGCGGCAGCCCTCAGCCGCAGTCGTCGCCCACCTCGGTGATCGCCCACGCGCCGGCCTCGGCGCACGAGTCCAGCGCAGCCGTGGCAGCGGCAGCCGCGGCCCTCCAGCGGCCCTCGTACTCCATCAACGGCATCCTGGGCATCCCTAGCGCCGAGGCCGCCAAGCGCAAGCGCGACGACGCGCACGTACAGCAGCAGGGTGAGACCCTCTTTCCTCCTCCTCTACTCAAACCGCACATTGGAGTACCGATTGGGGAACGACTATGGTGCCTGGAACGCGTCTCCGATTGGTGTGCTTTACCGCGTACAAAGACGTGGTCCCTTGATTTCCACCTGATGACATCTGATGATGATACAAGCGTCGCGCTGTCGCCGGCTGCGATCCTGGAGGTGTCCCAGTAGCGGTGGTGTATGTGGCAGACGCCTGTTCCTCTGCAGGTTGCTCTCCAGTGTGGGAGTCAACGGAAGCTTTGGCAACCAGAAGTTGATACGCCGCGACAACAGCGATACTCGCGTTCGCTCGCGTTTTTCGCCAGCATTTCTGCGACCAACCGCAGGATCACGACATCCGACAGCATAACACTCAGTACTTCGGCTTCCGTGATGTCATTTGTTGCCATTTCGGGACCAATTTTGATGTACGGGCAGCATAGGACGCTAAACATACCTGTCGAAGAACGCGCTCCAGGCACCATAGTGATATCACATGCAAGAAGACGACGAGCGTCATGACGATGCACTTTTAGAGCTGCTAGATTGGCCCCATAGGGTCTTATACCGTTGACTGCCGTCGGGCTTAACGAGAAACATAGCATAGCACAATCAAACCCGGCGAACATACGTCCATGGAACGTCATCATACTATACCAGGATGGCATAAACTCGGCAGTTAGGATTGAACCCGACGCCGAGCGTCCTTAGACGGATTTGAATGGACACGAGGCCAAGCCGAGCGCTTACTCAGCACTCGTGTCGACTTTCTGTCTGCGTTCGATCTCACTGTGATGATGTCAAAAAGCGAGTGCGCGAGCTTTGACTATTCTAGGTGGTGTTGGCTACCACAGCACATCCGACTACCGCTTTAAGATTCTGAACCTGCGATTAATTGAACCACGCTTGTTGAGTGTTCCTCGGTTCAGAGGGTCAACCATGCGGCTCTGCGATTACGCCAGGTACCACACGAAAGTAATTCCCGCGCGAAGCTGTTGGCACCGTTACGTCGAACGTGGAATTAACCGCCTGCATGACTGCCGACTCAAAGTCCCTGACTACGAACGGCTAATTTCAAGATTCTAATTAAATTTGTTTTTATTTGTTCAAGGACCGTTGTGGTGTGTACTATGCAGCAAAGATTTCCGTTGTACGTTAAAAGTCTAGAGGCGTGAAGCCTTCAGTCCTTTGCCGAGGTCTCCCAAATGTGCACGGTTGGCTCGCGACATAAAAAGCATGCACTTCACCAGGCGGCACCAGCTCGTTTTCAGTTTACTCACATGCGCGCCGAACTTCAAGTTGAAAGTTCGAAAAAGCTAACGTGGTCGCACTCGAGTCTGGGCGGGATCGCGGCATCCCTAGTTGCAGTGTTGGCGGTAACGCGTCCCTTTTACTTTGAGGTAACGTAGGTTTGTAACGTGTTCATTTTATTTACAGTAACAAGTAACGTAGTTCGTGACTTTTTTTTTTCTTTTTGTGTCACGCCTAAGCCACGCGCTTCGCTCCGCGACTCGGATTGGCTCAAAGGGCCATAGCGTTTGCCTTTTGCCAATTTACAATGAAACCGAGTAAAGCTCTAGCGCGGTATTCAGACCTCCCGTGCTTCCACGGTTCTTAGAGGGCTCAATTGACCCAGCATACTTCATGGTCTTTGCTGCTACGTTGCGTAAGGCCAAGGAACCGCCTCTGACGACCATAACGCCGATCATGAGAGGAGTCGGCATCGCGGTCTCTGGGGGCATCGATCTCGCCACGTCATCGCGGCACGGGCGACCCCGCACATGCGCGGGTCTCTCCCCTTCGGCGTGATGTCGTCGCGTTGCTCTCGACTCCAGTTCCGACTTCCGCTTCCGCCGCGCGGGAAGCACCCTCAAAAGCGCCGCTGCCGCCTGCACCGTCCGGGCGGCGTCTCTTTGTGCGGGAAGACGCCCCAAGAACGCGTCGGCAAACAGAGTCACGACCGCATTCCCTAGACGGCGGACAAGTAAGGAGCACCCCTCGGAAGAAAAAAAAAAATAAGATGCAGGCCGTAAGGCGGAAGGAAACGGCCCTATTAGCGTGACAAATTCCGCGGGCCACGAGGAGGGAGGCGTCGGCGTTATCAATCTCGCGCCGCTTCGAGCAGATTCCTCGTTCACGCGATGCCGGAGACGAGCGGACTGGAAATGACAGTCGCGTTCGAGAGTGTTTACGCAAACGAGCGTCACAAGAGGCTAAAAAAATAAATGGCATTTTTTTTTTTCCTCAAGACGGCACCCAGAGGCAAATGCATGATACATTTTAAAAAGTTAGGGTCCCGAAGATAACTTTGTACAGACTTGCAAGAATCACTTCGTAAGTTCATACACCTCGTTGTATCAAAAATAGGCATATATGATCAGTCACGAATGAGATCCACCGTACGTGACCATTTTGAGAGGAGATAATGACTCTGCATGTCTCGGTTAATGGTGAACGGAACAAAAATATAAGCTCCTCTTCCGCCGAAGAATGCGCGGTCAGTCGGAGCGTGAAAGAAAGTGTAGGAATGCGAAATAACAAAAAGAACGTCTTTTGAAACTGCTACGAAAAACTTAATCTTACCCTTGGTCCGAATAAACGTTAAAAATAAATGAAACAAAAAAAAAAAAAGAACGTAAAACTAATACAAAGGGTCCAAGTGCAACGGCTGAAACACCTGTGCGCCGCTTCTGCTCCTCCTCTGGGCGCCGAGGAACGTGGCGGTGCTTGAAGCATCTCTATCGTCGGCGGCCCCAACCTCGGCAGTAGCGAAACGTGGCCGCCCACGCAAGTACACCAGAGACGAACTAAGAGAGTGGAAGAATGACATTCATTCATTTTTTTTTTTTTTTTTTAATTTGAATTTGGAGAGGTATTTCGTTCGTTTTTCGCTAACGTGTTCCTTTTTTAGGGCATAAACTGTTCCATGTAATTAACAGTATACAGGAATCATGCACTTATGCGGTCTGTGCTGGTGAGTTATACGGCAAGGCGGGGGGACATGCAACAAGGGGGGGGGGGGGGGGGGGCGGTATATAATCATCACGATGGTAAGAAAATTAACTAAACTTGGTTAATTAATCTTTTAGTTAGTTTAAATAATCATATTGTTACGATTATAGACTTGCTGAGTGTAATTGAGAACCAATAAATCTGTAAAGTTTAGAACAATTTTAAGGAATAAAATTATACATTTTTTTTATTTTTCCTATAAGCTTCACGGCGGTTTTTTTTCTCTGTTTTTTTTTTTTTTAACAAGGCTGTAAAGCCTTTAGAAAAACACCCTGCATTGTATATTCTCAATGCATATGAGAAATTTAGCTTTCTGAACACAGAACACGTTTTACTGGAGCACCGCTGTTGGATTTCCGCAGCTGTGAAAGTTGCTTCGGAGCATGATTTGTTCTTTCAAAAGTTGATTGCGGGTAGCGAAATCCGTCCTCCTTTTCTCTGACATAATACTTATAAACACTTAAAAAATAGCGCGAATCTTAAATCAATGTTAAGGAACAACAACAACAACAACACAAAGTTTCAAAAGTATCATTATGAAGTCCAACCGTGAACGAACCGTGTGGAGAACGAAAGTCTCACGATTAACCGCCAGTCCTAACACTGAACCCCGAATACAATTCTCGGTAACCCTACCGACCGAGTTTGCCTTATGCAGAATTTCAAGTAACCGCCTTCGGGGATTCAGTATTCATGAACAGTCGATATCGGCGCTAAAATTAACGCACTTATTGAGTGCGCAGCTAACCTCGGCCGTGCCGCCGTACACGACTGCCCCATAGAAGCACCAACTTGTTACCCAACATTGACGTAGCCTATATGGGTCAGACAGAAGAAGTAATTGAGAAACCTCTCCGTTGACTCAGCCAAGCAGAACGATCAGGCAGCGGTCGTTAGCGAAAAGGACGCGTGGAAACTCGAGAACCCCAGAGATAAATATATATATATATAAAAAATACGCACGATAGAAGAAATAATAATAAAAAAAATCGAATGATATCAGGACAAAAACAAAAAAGGGCTCTCGAATCGTGGCTGCTGGGGGTTCAAGCCGCGGCCTGACCGGAAGGAAAAACTGGGCAGCTCCGTTCCATTTGTCTTGGAGCTCGTCTCGCGACTCGTCGTGACAGAGGCGAATGCACTGAGCCGCGGCGCCATTTATCCTGTTCCCTCAAGATCGCCATTAATACACCACGGGCCCGCAGAGGTCCGAAAGAGCTGTCCAAACAACGCTAACGGACAATAAAAAAATACATACTCAAACAAACCACGAAAAAAGTGGTCCGTCCGAAGCTGCATATCAAGAGGACAGGCCCCTTTCATAAGCTGCGCACGGCGGTGAGCCAAAATGAGAAACAAAATATAAATATATATAATGTATAAGGAGAGTGGGGATCGGTGTATCTCGCGTCGTATACGAAAGAATTTGTGACGGGTCTGTAATGTCGCGTATTAAGCATCTATCAGTTCGTGAGCGCAATTACACTATACTCCCGCCGAGCGCTGGTGGCGGCTGGCTGCTTGCGCGCCGTGTGTGTTGTACAGCTATAGGAGTAGGGGACGGGCAGGGAGGGAGCTGGGATCTGTGTTTACATTGCGCGTCGTTACGGTGGCTTCGCGACAACCAATCAGTCTGAAAGAGGCGCTTGTTGTCCCATGACGTTTGCGGTTCACGTATGCCGGGATATGGATGGCTACTCGCGGGCCTACGGACACTTGATAGGTTGCTTTTCTGGGCTAGAGAGACGACCCATCTCGTTTTACTTATTTTTTTTTTTTTTACGAGGCGGCAGAAGGGGAGGCATCGAAGGTAGTACGTTTCCCGTTTCTGTCCCCCTTGTTTTCGCCGTTGATTTAATCAAGATCAGACGCAACAAAACAGACCTTGTTGGGTTTCAGGAAAACACGAGCAAGTATTTTTTTTTCCGACGCAATTTTTATTTTTGTATATGCCATTTTGGGACATCATCGTAATTG